ATCTGGGACTGATGATATGCTCTTGAAGGTTCTTCTTCTTCTTCGTTCTTAATTGTAATGTTGGAGGGGACTTTCTCCAACACAATTTACTATTACGACTCATCTTGTTATGAGTCATGTAGGCCTTTGACTCAGATTTCAGCCTGCTTTTCTTTCTGTGTTTGCTACCATAGCCATTGGTCTAAGATCAAATTACCAGGCAGCTGTTGATTGATGTTCGAGTTTTCTCTAATAGATGGGTTGCTGTCTCCAGATCCCCTGGGGTTCGAACTTTGCTACTATAGACATCACAAGAAATACACGATTAAACCTACTGCCACCAAAACTAAAGGTACTTCCACAGAAGCGTAGCGACCCTTCCGGCGCCCGGGGACAAACTTTCAATTTGGCGCCCCCCTCGGGAGCAAATTTTCAATTTGCACCCCCCCCCCCACTCAAACTATTTATAATGCAAAAGTGCAGCTAAAATGACATTTTAATTTGTTTTTTCCAACCCCCGGTCGGCGCCCAGGGACATATGTACCCCCCTGCCCCCCCCTCCCCCTCATCGCTACGCCTCTGTTCCATGCTGGTACGTTTAAGCTTACCGCTGCTAGACTACATGATTAACCCTCCTGCCCCACCAAAACTGCAAACACAACCAAACTACATGATTAACCCTACCGCTACCGATACTGAAGATACTTCCATGCTGGTACGATTAACCCTCTTGCTACCAGACTACACGATTAACCCTTATGCCACAAAAACTAAGCACTACCAGACCTACACGATTAACCCTACCGCTACCGATACTGAAGATACTTCCATGCTGGTACAATTAACCCTCCTGCTACCAGACTACACGATTAACCCTTATGCCACCAAAACTGTAACCACCACCAGACTACATGATTAACCCTCCTGCCACCAAACATAAAAAAAACAATAACTCCGTGTTTGGAATTCCCGAAGCCGCGTCACAACAAGCGGTGACAAGCGAGTTTTGACGGTCGAAAATTTGTCCCCTCAGCAAATCTCTGTGTTCATCTCGTGGCGCGGCCATTTGTTCACACGGTGACATTGTTTTACCGAGCGGTGTACAGCTTTCTCCTGCACCGTGACAAATGTACAGACGAAGTGGACGAGCAAGCCCTACGCTGGTTATATTGTGGCATTTACCTCGTCCACGTCTGCCGGTACGTTTGCTGGCGGATTTAATGAATTAATTCTAATCTCTTCCAAGTCTAGCGGTTACACGTAATATGATTAAGGATCGTGCAGCTAATACATAAAACACAGGCGGGGGGGGGGGGTGTAACCATCTTATATTTTGTTATACGGGTCCATGAGGATATAAAGAAAAACGGTTTACGACAATACCTTTGATTTATTTTTGTACTCTAATTTTTGGAAAATATCTGATGTTTGGAAGAGTTGCGTGAATAATTTGACGTTTTGTTTTTTGAAACAAATTCAAAGCTCTTCCGTTGTTTCACGTGAAGATGTTACAAGTAATTTTCTTAAATTTAAAACTTCACCGTTGGTAATTACTGAGTCAAACAGTGAACAAGACATTTAAAAGTCTGATAAGACTTTGAATAAAAAATATTAAAGTTTCCATTATTTCCACTAAAAAGTTTACGACTACCAACAAGCTAATTTTTGTCTTACCTTGAACGCAAAGTGGTTTTTTTTTTTTTTTTTGTATCGGACAAGTGCTTCAGCGTATTTTTAAAACTGACAATGGCAGCTTTTTTTTCGGCCGGCCGATCGTCGAAAATGGAGGCGCTCATACTCTCACAAGAAAATGGCGATGAAGATATCTTACAATAAACATAAACAGAGTGGTAGCTTCCATTTCTCGAGTCTTTTAGACACGTCAGTTTTAGTCAGTTGACGTCAGTGTTGGTCAGTTAATGTCAGTGTTGGTAAGTTGAGGTCAGTGTTGGTCAATTAAAGTGTTGGTCAGTTGAGGTCAGTGTTGGTCAATTAAAGTGTTGGTCAGTTGAGGTCAGTGTTGGTCAATTAAAGTGTTGGTCAGTTGAGGTCAGTGTTGGTCAGTTAATGTCAGTGTTGGTCAGTTGAGGTCAGTGTTGGTCAATTAAAGTGTTGGTCAGTTGAGGTCAGTGTTGGTCAATTAAAGTGTTGGTCAGTTGACTGTACTATGTAAAAGGTCTTTAGTTGTTATATCTGAAGTGCGCTGTGTGTAGATAGTGTGTTGTGTGTAGATAGTGTGCTGTGTGTAGATAGTGTGTTGTGTGTAGTGTGCTGTGTGTAGATAGTGTGCTGTGTGTAGATAGTGTGCTGTGTATAGATAGTGTGCTGTGTGCAGATAGTGTGTTGTGTGCAGATAGTGGGCTGTGTGTAGATAGTGTGTTGTGTGTAGTGTGCTGTGTGTAGATAGTGTGCTGTGTGTATTGTGATGTGTGTAATGTGCTGTGTGTAGTGTGCTGTGTGTAATGTGCTGTGTGTAGATAATGTGCTGTGTGTAGATAGCGCGCTGTGTGTAGTGCGCTGTGTGTAGATAATGTGCTGTGTGTAGATAGTGTGCTGTGTGCAGATAGTGTGTTGTGTGTAGTGCGCTGTGTGTAGATAATGTGCTGTGTGTAGTGTGCTGTGTGTAATGTGCTGTGTGTAGATAATGTGCTGTGTGTAGATAGCGCGCTGTGTGTATACTGTGCTTAGTTCGCTACAGACAGTACTAGTTCATTGAGCACCACAGTAAGTGAACACTAAACAAACATCATTAAACGTGCTCAAGAGCTCTACGTGATCTCAAGGACTGGATTTCGGCGTTTTTCCACGCATCATTGAACAGTTAAACACAAATACGATCAGCTACCTAATGAAGCGATAAGACATTGAGCCCATATAGTCCAACTTGAAACCTATTTTATTCACGGTGGCACAGATCCACTGGTATTCGGTATCCGGATTAGTCGCTAAAAATAGATATGAAACCAAAAACTGTTGAATGTACTAGACCGCGACGGGTGTTTTTTTTTGTCTGGCTCCGGGATATTTAAGTCTTATGTTTAATAATCCCTCCCCCTTCCCTCCCCCTTCCCTCCCCCTTTCACAGCCATACAAACCAACCCTTGACGTCATTAGCAGACGGCATGACTCACCATATAAGGGGGCCAAAAGAATTGTTGGTAGAAGAAGACCCATTTATTAGAGACATGTTTTTCCTGCTTCTTTTACCTGAATACAACCAATGTCAACAAACATATTTTTTTGTGTCGGGTGAAACTTGACTGTGTCTGTTCGTATACTAAACTTTTGGAACACATTTGTATGTCACTAGTAAGATATGGTGTACGGGGGGGGGGTAGTTATTTTACATGTGCAGCATCGTTTACTTGTTAGAGTCTGTGAGAACTTGATACTTGCGACACCACAATATGCCACCCTACAACACCATGATATGCCACCACTTTACGACCAGACCCATACGGCCTGCCCCCCCCCCCCACCCCGAACGAGATGGAATTTATATAGTAAACATATACTTTTACTAGTGTCCGCCCCCCCCCCCCCCCGGAGAAAAAAGTCTGGAAGAAAAACTGCTCGAAAGTTTCAGTCCCGTCCTCCCCCCCCCCCCCCCCCGGAGAAAAATGTCTGGGAGAAAACACTGCCCCACCCCCACCCCCATCCCCCCACCCCACACACACACATTTGCTTTCCTAATGCCTGCTGCTCTGAGACTTCTGTGAACACATTTTAAGCCTGATATTTCTGACATTTCCTGCTCACAATTCCCGCCCAACCAACCCTGATAACCTATCATAGACGCAAGTACAACCCATTGTCGTTTTTCTTGAAATGGTGAGGCCGTAGTTATAGCATCCTGCAAACGGAGTTACCCTTTAACTCGAAATATTGACATTGGAAATTCCAGTGACTATAAATAGCAATACCGTTTTTTAGCCAATTTTCTTGTATACTTCCTGTTTTTGTGTGTTCCGAAATATTTTCTTAACCTAGCACATCTGTGTTGCGCTAATTAATAACTCGGATTCTCTTATTAAAGGTTCTAATAACAGCGATCAAATTTAAATAGGTTACGGGTTTTCCCGTTAATTTCCTTCAGAACTAATTGAGCGTTGGCTGGTTTAAAAATGTAAAATTATATTATTTTAAATGTGTTCAAGAAAACGTCAAGAGATTGGTACGTGGTCGTTTGTTGTGGTCTGGTTATCGTCAAGTCAATGTAACGTTGACACGCTTAGTGTCTATGTCTTGATATCGTCTAGTCTATGTAATGTAGCCTTTTAGAGATAATGCCGGGATATCGATAATCCAATGTATCGTAAGCTTAAGCTCAAGGACTTGATGCACACTTACTAGAAAGAGAACAGAAAACACGTGAAATTCACAGACAGTTTCTTCCAGGCATCTCTTTGGAGCCTTCCCCCACCCTCCCAGGAGAATTAAGTCTGGAAGATACGCAGATCACAGGGTAGATGAAATATGGACTTCGCCACAAGCAATAGGTAGATACAGAAGTAAAGTCAATGGACATTTAATGGACATGGACATGATTTTGTTTTTAATTAGGCTGGACGAAATGGTTCGTTGTCATTTGTAAGCGGCCGTCTAAAGCTGTTAATTTATCGTGGCGCTTCAGTCGTGTTTTTAGTTAAACATTCCTTAATTAAGAGGGCAGCCGACAGGTTAATTAAGCAAGGTAATATATTGAGGTATTTTATCAAATTAATTATGTAAATTAATCGTCAGTCAGGTCACCTCAGATGTTAAGTAAAAAGTAGAAGCAGAAAACATAGGTGACCTCAGTGGTTTACCTGTGAACATGTGGTCCATATGTGACCTAGTGGTTCACCTATGACCTCAGTGGTTCACCTGTGACCTCAGTGTTTCACCTTTGACCTTAGTGGATCACCTGTGACCTCAGAGGTCGACCTGTGACCCAGTGGTTCACCTGTGACCCACTAGTTCACTTGCAGTACACCTAGTATAGCCAAAACAAACAAACAAGAAAAAAAAAAAAAACTTACCATCCTGCGCTCGCTGTGGATGAACAAATCCCAGGTAAACACAAACTACCAATATCCATGGATAAGTCAATCGAGCAGCATCCAGCGGCCACATTTCAAGTTTTCGCTGCTTCAGCAGGTTTTATCCATTCACCTAATCCACAGAACTATGTGTATCCATGGATACACCGGAACACAATTTCACTCGATACACCTGGATATAATATCTTACACTTGAATACACCTGGATATAATATCTTACACGTGGGTACACGTGGATACAATATCTTACACGTGGATACAACTGGATACTATTTCCTTAGCCTTAAAATAAGAAAACTGAACCATTAAATTTGCTGAACCTGATAAGAATTTTTTTTAAATCTATGTATGTGGTCTCAATGGCATCATGACCACACGTTTAACACCACGGCGTTGGTATAATGATGCGCAGGTGGGGGTAGGGCGGACCCCCCGGGCAACGCTTACATTAAATATAAATTAAATATTCATTATGAACGGTTAAGAACTTAAGATTCCTCACTGAGCGCCACTACATACACACTAAATAGTTTACACCGTAACGCCGTAAGGAAACATTTGGATCCTATTCGAATGTTTCAAAAGTATGGACGCAATGTTTCAAACAACCGAACGTTTTTCTATGAAAGCTGATATAACGGAACTAGCAGACCAAACTCTTGTTTTAAGACAAGTGGTAATTATGTATTTGTTGAAATTGCAAGTTTTGTTTTGATGTGTTGGAGAGGGGGGATTAATATTTGATAGTCTTTGACTTAGTAGATGGTAAATATTTATGTTGTGTAGAGGGCAGGCAGAAATGTGTCTTCGGCTGAGATTTGTTGTTACATGCACGACACAATTATTTGGTGAGGCAAGATTTCACAACAAGGGAAGCGTCGTTTTTATGGACGTTTGGTTGTCATAACATGCGGTCAGCTGATGCAGTTGGTTCGTCTACACGCAAGGTGGGGGTGTGCAGGTGTGTGCAGGTGTCAGAGGGATGGAAACAGACGGTTAACTAACTGTTGCTTTAACGGATAGTTAAACAACTATTGCTGGAAATAGACACTTAAACAACTGTTGCTGTAAACAGCCAGTTAACCACTTGTTGCTGTAGCCAGTTAACCAACTGTTGTTGTAAACAGCCAGTTAACCAACTGTTGCTGTAAACAGCCAGTTAACCAACTGTTGCAATAAACAGCCAGTTAAGCAACTGTTGCTGTAAACAGCCAGTTAACCAAATGTTGCTGTAAACAGCCAGTTAAGCAGCTGTTGCTGTAAACAGCCAGTTAACCAAATGTTGCTGTAAACAGCCAGTTAACCAACTGTTGTTGTAAACAGCCAGTTAACAACTTGTTGCTGTAAACAGCAAGTTAAACATTTTTTCTACCCTACAAGTTTGTTTACAATATTTTTTTTATTAGAATGTTGTCTCTCGTGTAAAGAATCTATGACGTAAATCTTCCAAAATAATAAATTTGACTTTTTAAAATTCTAACAACTAAGCATAAATTATTTTTTCTTTATTACTGTTTAATAACTTAAATCAAATAATAAAAGATTTTTTTTTAAATAAACGGTGTATAAAAAACCTTCCTGAAATTACACATGTAGGGTAGACTTTGGTAATAAATAATTTAGCCTGCTGTATAGGCGAACGTGTAAAAAAAAACAATGTATATAAATAAACACATGAGTAACAAAAGCGTACGTAATGTGCCGTTAAAAAAAAATGTTATGAACAAACGTATCGTACCGCGGCGTGTAATTCACAGAACAGCAACACACACCACACACGACACCGTCAACACGACCTCTACAGACGACAAACCAGAAAACACAACTACAGCAGAATTAGCAGCCTAATCCAAGAACCTAATCCACGAACAGAATTTAAATCCACACGACCGAAATGGTTAAATCCGAGAGTATCCAATCCACACCTAACCACAAGACCCTGTCGTCTGCTATGGCAAGGGGAGGGAAGTCCAAAGTTTAGGGGCTCAATTAAAAAAGAGGCCAGCACATACCCTGTGGGACTAGCCTAGAGGTGCACGCAAACACACGGGGCTACCAGCGCCGAGCCCTCCCCCCACCGCACTACAGCCACTTGTATTTTTAAAACCTAATTATAAATGGGAGGTTAGGGGAGGGAAAAAAAAGAATGGGTAGATGACAGAATATGTAGTCTCCAGCGCCCCCCCACCCCTGCCCCCTTCATTCACCAACAGGTAGAGCGGTTCGCCTTGTCGCGCAGCGAGAGGGGGGGGGGGGAGGGGACGTCTCGACGCGAATTTTGGCGGGTTGGTCACATCTCCATAACAGACTCCCAGTCACACTAAATTCATAAAATATTACTGCTATAGTCCAGAGAAGAGTAGTCTTTACATTCGGCGCTAAAACTTTCAGGATGATGAAAGAAACCATTTTGATTTTAAACCTAAACAGTGGCGTCGCTAGGTCGGGTGTTACCGGTGCGGCACCTCATGATGTCACCCCCCTTTTTTTTCTCTGTAAATTTTGTAGTGTAGTTGTTGTCACCACCCCCCCCCCCCCCGATAAAAGCTTTAAAGTGTTTACATTTAATATTAATGATGTTTATATATAGACGATTGTTAAAACAGCTGTGGGCGTGTTAAAACAGCTGTGGGCGTAACATTGTTTTCTCTGTAGTTTGCGTCTAAGTGTTCTATCTCCACCCCACCCCCCCCCCCCTTGTCGCGATCGTCATCATGTACTTACATTTTTTAACGCTAATTAACCATTCATTAAACTGGCAAAAACCATATTTATTTTATATATCTTGCAATTTTTTTTGTCTTGGTGTCACCCCCCCCCCCCCCCCCCCAAGGGGTCATCCATTTTTGACGTCCACACGGGGGGGGGGGTGTCCCGAAAAAAAGTGACTTTTGCGGACGCGTGTGGACTTTTAAAAAGGACTTTTGTGGACGGGGGGGGGGGGAGGGGTCCAAAATCTAAAAGAATTGTGGACGTCATAAATGGATGACCCCTAAATTGTGTCGCCCAGTGCGATCCGCAACCCCCACCTCGTGACGCCTCTGAACCTAAATACAAATTGTTTTTAAATATTGCTTTAGTTTTTGTTAAAAAAAAATTTAGTCTGTAAAATAACCTGCTGTTTTATTGAAGGAGGGGTGAAAACAAGGAACGAACATCACCAACTATCAAGGTTGTACCGGACTCGGCTGTAGTTAAGTTTTCTGACACGGAATATTTGTCTGGTCTTTCTGGCTTCCACTTTCATAATTTGTGTCCATGTTATGGGGGTCATCCATAAATTGTACGTCAGGGGTCATCCATAAAAGACGTCATGCTTTTTTGGACTATTTTACCCCCCCCCCCCCTCCCATGTCACACATCGTCACAAAAAAGCCAGACCCCCATAAAATAACGTCCACTTTACCGAAGCACGTCCAGCGCTCCCCACCCCTCCAACCAGTGTTTCTTCCAGACTTTTTTCTCCGGAAGTGCACTTGAAATTTTCGGGAGGGGGGGGGGGCGGACACTGTTAAAAGTATATATTTTTTAATAAATTCGATTTCGTTCGGGGGGCGGTAGACTTTCTTCTTTAAAATGCAAAAGTGTTATTTCACATACCGCCTACCATTTCCCCCCCCCCCCCCTCCTTCGGGATAAGCCATAACTTTCTAAACTGTACCGGCACGGCGCAGTATACAAACCCACGTCTCTCGCCGATTGAAAGCATGAATGAATTTTTCTCCTTCCAAAGATGATAGATTGTGATTGACCGCCACAACATTATGGCCGTGTCTGCCGTTTGATAGATACTTCACCGGGCCGGCTAAATACCGAGATCGTTTGTGTGAGGTCGCTAACACGCATAGTTACCACAGGGTAGCGAAAAAATTTAACAGTAAACAACCATTTAATTTTGTGTTGTTAATTTTCATTGTGTTTCGTGTTTATAAAAAATGTCTTCATCGGCTGTAATTGTATTTAAATATTAAACTTGCAATGTTAAGTAAGCCTATTTACTTGCTGTTTTTTGTTGTTGTTTTTTTTGGGGTTTTTTTTTTAAATAGACCTAATACGCTTGAAAAAAATGACAAGCTGCAAAGTTTAGTTGACCTATAAATAGACTAATTATTTTAAATTCGATATTTACATTTCATTAGCGCTCAAAGTATAAAAACATATTTGTTGGTCTTGAATATTTACAAACAAGCAAGCTCATGCAAGTGAATTTGTTTATAGAGTCTAGTTCCCCCCCCCCCCCTTTCCAAATAATTAAAGTCTAAGTTTATAAATAGAAAGAAGGGAGAGCAGCTTCAAAAGAAAAGCACGCGCAGGCTTGCCGTCCAGGAAGTGACAGGTGCGGGAATTATAAATAGATGGCCGGAAAAAATAAAACGAAACGAATTTCGAAAAATAGTTAAGAGTTAATGAAGTTTGAAAAGTATTTTTGGAAGTATATTTGAATTCAAGTAAACATAGTTGGCTTTTGGCTTGGACGAAGGGGGCGTGGTGAGGTCTTGACAAACTGTTGTGGTATGTTGTCGTTTCTCGAGTGTGGGTGAATGTTTACAGTTGTGGTACCAATATGGACGGGCTAGTATGTTGCCGTGTCGTGTTGGTAAATGTTAACAGTTGTGGTACCAATATGGACGTGCTGGTATGTTGCCGTATTGCGGGTGTGGGTGAATGTTTACAGTTGTGGTGCCAATATTGGTTTTACTGCGCCTAGGGCATGTATTAAGGGATGTTTCAAATCTTTTCTTCTTCTTCTGCGTTCTCAACTTGCGTGCAACCTGTTATACTCGGCCACGCCGACCCCCGCAAATCTTATAATAAACCTGTAATGAGTATGACGGTATATTTGTTATATTGTGTTGGTTTGCGAGGAAGTGTATACATATGTATTTTATATAAAACCTTATATTAAGGTAAGTTAAGAGTCCATTTCCTTAAGGGCTTTGGACCACTAGGTGTAGCTAATTATAGCCCCAGACCCCACGTGATGCAAGCAGGTGTAAGCGGTCCATAAAATACCTGGCATTCCTGTCTGCTACATTATTGTTTTAGGTTCAAGGGTGTAATTTTGTATTCATTTTGCTGGTTAGATTAACCGAAACGGTTTAGTTTATTGTTTTAGGTTCAAGGGTGTAATTTTGTATTCATTTTGCTGGTTAGATT